ATCAGAACATCGTATGGCGTCCAGACTGCGGTTCTTTTCTGTGTCCTCCTAGGGCTCCAGCATCCCTTGGAGCCGCAAGTGACTCCCTTTCCCCTTTGTCTACCGACCCAGTCCTTGTCCCAGCAGCCCCCTCTTTACCCAATGCACTCCTTTTATCTCCTTTACGTGCCTTGCTGTGCGGCAGAGCATTGCACTCCCAACCCCTGATCTGGGAGGCAGGCAACCACCAACTCGTCCTCTGTCCAGGCAATGAATTGTTTTCTCAGGCATGTACCGACCCAGTCATTGTCTCAGCAGCCCATGCGCCCCATGCACACTCCCCATTGTCTATCGACCCAGTCCGTATACCAACAGCCCCAATATACCCAATGCACCTATTCCCTCATGTCATTTGAACTGAGTGTTCCTGTGTCTTGGACTTGCAGTGCGGCGGAGCACTGCACTCCCATCCCCTGTTGTGGGAGGCAGGCAACCACCAACGCGTCCTCTGTTCAGGCAACGAATTGTTTCCTCAGGCTGGCTGGCCGTCATTCAGGCAGGTTGGGATGCGGGGTGGGGAGGGGGATGGCAGGGCCGGGAGGGCTGACCCTTACTGATTTCCGAGCCTGTTTTCATTCCTGACCCATCAAAACACCGTCCACGGGCCTCGACCCACTAGCCAAGTATATTACGATGTGTGATTTTAAGTATTGTTTGGTAAATTGAAAAAGAAAATCGTTGCCCTTTTTGTTTTATTTCTTTTTGCCGCAAGTCAGCCACCGTTTCCTTGTTTTCTGGGCAGCCTACAATCCCGACATACAAAATGCCTGAATGGAGATGTATAGCCAGAGCGTTGTATCGGGACCCAAAGGGGAGACTCATCCATGAATCGCAAAGCATGGACACGACCACATGCATGTCATTTATGTGAGACCCTTTGAACTGTGATTACCACTCTGCCGCGAATGAGGAAACAGGGAGTTTCTTTTATTGGAGCCCATAGGTGACGTGTGTGGTCGGAATGTGGGATGGACCACCCGCCCCGCCAAGCGGGTTCGCCACATCGGCGTTGGCACAGCCTGCTGTTGGTGGGCATGGGGAGATGTGTGGGGATGTTGCCGGATTGCCATTTCCACCGCCACCAACACCCACAGGACTGTGCGTGGAAAACCCCATCTTCTACATCACGGATAAGACCATTGATGATATAATCGGAGTGTGGTGCGCACTACTGCAAGAATGGCAGACCCCTGACTGCGGCGTGACGCTGTCTCTTACCCCTGCCTGAGGCAGCACTGGTGGAGGGGTTGAGCTTCCACGGTTGAGCGATCGGTCGGGGCCATCGTTGCAGTCGACTGATGTCAGAGGTGATGTTGTCGGACTCACACAGCGTGACGCCTCGAAAACATGAGGGGACAAATGTGGAACCTGGCTGCTAGCTACCACAAACGAATCCCGCGACTGCCCCTCCGCCATGGCTATGGCACACATCCTTAAACCACCAGTACTTGGGGCCGGCCTTAGCGTTAACACTACGAAAATTTCGCGGCCGGCGGGCCGTGGATAAATCGAATCCACAGCCCGTGTCGCTTCGACCTCCGGCGCGCAATGCGGCGGCGCGCAGTGCCCAAGTACTGGTGGTTTAACTG